GGTGTCATTTGTCCGGGTGGGGGAAGCGTGTAGTAGGGAAGAGGAGCACATATGTTCTAAAGGTCCAGGAATCACACGGCTGGTGCACACCATGTCCTCTGCTTTTTATTCCTCATGTGTTACTAATTACACACACAAACATACACACACCCAACGGAATGCAGCATCTTTTGACCATACGAAACTATTTTAAGTGCTTTTTGTTTCCTTTTTTTTTTTTTTTGACAATTATTTGACACCTTCATTTGCGTATAGTATAATTAATGGAAAGTAGCATAGGAAAAGAAAGCGTCTAATTAAGACCTACAGGAAATGTTATTCCGTTGTGTAAGCTGGGCTTCAATTTGGGTTATTAGAACTGGCTGCTGGCCTTTTGTCTCAGGAATTTGTTTTGTTGAGCAGTTTTGCTTTCTTTCAGATGAATGTTGCTGTTGCTTTTATTTTCCTAATACAGGAAGTAGTAATTCCCTTTATTATATTAAGCTGTTTCCTTTTTTAAGACACGTCCGCAAGCTGGGTCTGCACATTTCCTTTGCCACGCTGATCTTATATATATTGTGTGTGTGCTTCCTGGAACCGTTTGTGCACTGATGGAAAGAGTTAGCCTGTTGTCGTAGCCTGACCAGGGAAAGGCTACTTGGTCTGACCACAGAGAACCTTCCAGTGAGGGGTGACACTGTGCACTGCTAATATGCAGTGATCTTCACAGGCAGTTTGAGCACAGGGCTGAGTGAGTTGAGGTTTAGAAGCAGAATGTTTTGGAGTTTTCATTTCTGGCCATGGTTTCAAATGTGGCTTCTGTTGGCCAGCAGTTGTAAATAGTTCTGTCTGATGGCTGTTTCTTCACACACAGCCCCAAACCTCTTCTGTCTATTCTGCCTGAGCGTGATGGCATTCAGAAAACGCTGTCACTCCCTACTTTTGCAGAGGCCGTGGGGTCAGGTAGTTTTTTGTTTGTTTTGTTTTGGTCTTTGTTTTTTTGTTTTGTTTTGTTTTGGTCTTTTTTTTTAATCTAAATTGTGAACTTCAGAATAATCTGAAAAGTTCATTTCCATCATCCCTGACCCCAAACTCCCCCCAAACCATTTCCCCACTCCCCGTGGCCTCTGGTCCAGGCAGGAGAGTATTCCTCCATCCTACAGAATACTGTGCACTGGACAGTCACACCAGAAACTAATTTTCAGGTGGGCTCGGGATGCGAGCCTTTGAACTTGCTTTTAGAGTTGTTTTTTTTTTCTTTCAGCATACTCCATCTACCCTGAGAAACAAGCTTCATGCATAGTTCAGCCTTTTGTCTTTTTGATTTCACTTTGTTTGATCTACAAGTCCTACTTCAGACTTGCCCATGGACAGGGATCACGCTGGCGAGTGTAGCACTCTGTGAATGTATTGGAAATCTTTGACTTACATCTTTAGAAATGTTTGAATTCTGTGGCATGCAGATTGTATCTTAGATAAACTGATGTGTGTGAACACAATATTCTCCTTCAGTCAAAATTCTCAAAACAAATAAATAAGCCGATGTGTTTACTATTAATTTTCCTGGTGGTTTTATAGGCCTCTTTATAGTATTCGTCCTAACCTTTAGTTTCTTAGCTAAATAGATCTAATTTTTAAAGTTGGCATTATATACATTACATTTCAGCCAACAAGTACCTATCTAGCACTTCCCTGGCTGCAGAGACTAAATTATCATAGAGACAATAGTAATGTAGGAAGAGAAGAGCAATTGTCACAGGAATTATTAATAGTAAGTTAAAGTAGCAATTGGAACTGCAGCTATTCTGTTGGGAAAGCACAATAGTGTCTTAAGTGTGACTGTGGTGACAGGGAGCTAACAATTGAGTCCCTGCTAATGGCCCAACAGGGGAAGGGCTTGAAAAGAGGCAATGAGTGGTTTACATTACAATGGGATTGTCTGAGAGCCGCTCAAGTGTGGTCAGGAGGGGAGGTGGGCTGGAGACAGGAGGAATGAGAACCATGCAACTGTCAAGGGCATCTTGGGGTTTTAGACAAGGGCCGTGGCAGCTAGACGCAGCCCACTGAAGCAGACGTGTCCACGGGCTGCCCAGTGTTGATTGACACAAAGGAAACACAATGAGAAGATAATTGAGCGAACCAGGAGGTCTGGACAAGTGTCATAGGATCTAAAAGTGAGTCCTGGGAGCCATCAGAACATCGGCTGAAAATACTCCTGCCTTCACTCTGACCAGAGTTGAACCATTCTATGGAGAATAGAGCTTCTGTTAGAGTGTGTGAGTGTGTGTGTGTGTGTGTGTGTGTGTGTGTGTGTGTGTGTGTGTGTGTGTTGCCATGATTGGCAAATGTATTGAAAAAATATGCGCCTGACATCTGATGAACTCCCAGTTTCGGTGACACGTTTCTAACACACTTGCACACCCACACATTCTCACACTGCTTTAACTGGCTGTTTTAGTGTATAAAACTCGGCCCTCTAGAGCACAGTCCAGATCCACTGTGCCATTTGTTCTAATCCTGTCCTTTGTAGCGTTTGCCCCTCACAGTCCAGTCCACAGCCACTGACCGTGTATTGTGTGTAGTTGCCATGCATTAGAGACACAGAGCACAAAAGTGTGGGGGAACAAAGGAGGCAGAAGGGCCACTGGGGACGAACTGGGGAGAAGACTGTTCTCCCTGCGAGGCACTGCTGGCCACGTGATGGGATCTCCTGAGACTTTTACTCTTGCCGATGACATCACAGCCACTGTGGCTTCTTCACACAGGGCACACTGTTCCTACCTTTGGGTCTTGGCTTCAAGCTTTTCTTCCCGCCTAGTTGTCCACGACTGGTTTCTTCTTGTCATAATCATCATAACTCCCAGTTGAAGGGCCAGCCCCAAGAGAGGACATCTCATTCTCTGAAATAATCTGGTCATTTTTTTGTCTCCCTGTTTAAATGATCTGTCTGGGCACATCACTTGCTAATGCTTTTTCTTTTCACTGGTTTCCTAAAAATCCCAAACAACATCTTACACATGGTAGACACGCAAAACCTATTAGTTGAATGAATTTAATATCCAGAGGCAGGGCATCCTTAACGATGATGGCAACGCTGCACAGACAGGCTTTATGCACTAAAATGCCTCAGAACTTAAATCAAGGACATAGACTCAGTGAAGGGACCTTGGGTAGCAGGATGGCTCGAAGGCTCATACTGGCTGCCAAGCTTGACAGGGAGAGTTTATTCCCTGGAACCCACGCAATGGAAGGAGAGAACTCCTTCTGCGAGTTGACCTCTCTCCTACACACATGCTCCGAGGCACACCTCTACCCCCACATACAAAATAAGTAAATATTTAAAATAGATATAAAAACCTTGATTGTGCATTAGAATATTGGCAGGTGAGTGCGCACTCATATATTTTAATATTAAATGTCACAACATGTAAAATATTTTATATCTTCAACTCTAAACTGTTTTTTTTATACACAAATTATATTGGCTAAGAAAGAACATAGTATCTATAAAAAGGCATACCATAATCAGAGTATAGATGCAACCTGGTGTCAAAAGAATGTTCTCAAATCCGGAGTGCTCAGGAAAGTAGTAGTTGATTTGGGCTTTGAAAGGACTAGGGATTTCTGGGGTGAGCGGGATTTCTGGGGTGAGCAAGTGGGGAAGAGCAAGGATGGGACGGGAACAAGAAGCACAGGGAAGACTCCAAGGAGCCGGCTGTCACTGAATGAAAGGGCGTGGTTTGCGGATAGCGAGAAGCAGCAGGAGCTGGGGAAGGTAGCACCGCATTTAGGTTGCTTAAAATCAAGCAGAGAGAGGTTTGTAGATTAGGCATGGAGAAAAATCAGGAACTATTGTGAATTCGTGAGAACAAGGGTAGTATGATGGCATGGGTATTTTAGGAAGATTACTCAGGGTGGGGAGTGAGCTAGGCTGGCAGTTGGGGAGGGGTGGAGGGGTAACACCAGTATCCATCTGGTGTCCGGAGCAGACTCCAAAGTCAGCCTGGGCTCTGCTTTGCCTGGTCACTCCAGTCAGCCATCACTAATCAATCCGCGCTGGCCCCAAGCCTGCCTGCCTCCTCTGAGTGTCACAGCTGAGAAAGGCACACAGGCATGAGAGCAGAAAGGCGGGGAGGCCCAGAGGATGGCAACCTGGACTTTCGTAGCTCTGGGAATGTAAGAAGGGTGAATGTCTTGAGATAGTCCTTTTGTCTTGGTAGGGTTTGTGTACATCATTACTCATTGTTAAAGAAACATTTGCTTTCTCTTTCTGGGTCTCTGCTACTGGTGTGCAGTTTGTAGGGACTTGCTTCTTCCAAATAAAAACTTCCCTTAAATATTTAACAAACCTTTAAAACAGTAGCTCTAGCAAATGATGTGCCAACCAAAACAAAGTAGAAAGAAAGTAAAGTCTGTTGCCTGTTTTTAATCTGCAGAGGCTTGGGGAGACACCTGCTCTGTCCTTCCGTGGGAGTTGAGCTGTCAGAATATGTTAGGATGCTATTTTGTTCTTTTCTTTTTTTTAAAAAAAAAAAGACAGATTTTCATTAGCTACTATTTTTAAAGATGAGTTTTAAATTGCAAAATAACAAACAAAATTACACATCAAATGCAGTCATCTCAGCTTCGGAGTCAGCGGGGAGCCTCTGCTGTGTGAGAGTTTGGGCTACAGGCACAATGCCGTGTTTATCCTAGCTGCATGCTGTCGCTGGAAAGCAAAGTTCACAGTGACCAAAAGGCCTTTTCTGAATAACTTATCCCAAAGGAGAAAACATAAACCCCCGTGGCAAATCAACCCTCTCTTGTAAGCTGTAATTCTTGGAACTGTCTGAGAACATTGTTGCTTCACCATAGAAAGCTTTACCTGTGTCCACTTGAGCGAGACAACCTCCACAAACCTCGGACCGTGGGTGCGGGTACAAGCACTGACTGCAGGTGAATATTTTTACTGATGACTTTTCTTTAACATTCTCCCCCCCCCATGTTTTCTCTCTTTCTTTCTACCTGTGGCTACGGTCAAGAGCTTACAAGACCCTATGAAAAAGCTAGTTGAGAAAGAAGGGAAGAAGAGCACCCCGCGGAGGGAAAGCCTGGAGGCTGCTGCACAGGAGCCTAAGCAGTAAGTCCCCAGCCCCTTCCTCTGGATGCATGCATCCGTCCTTCTCACAGGGGAGGCTAGTGCGTCCTCATAGCCAAGCCCAGTGAGCCCACCGACACCCAGGGGTCACCCTGTCCTCACCATCCTGCTGCCTTGGGAAAGAAAGTCAGGTGTCCCCATGACGGCTCCATGGGCTCTCTGCTGTCTGGCTCTGGCCCTCACTGTTGTCATCAGCACTCACAAGAGATCCTAGACGGGAATCCCCCCACCTTTCCTCTTCTTGAAATCTATGGCTTTTGAAATTGCTTAGCCATGCCTGTAGTCTAGAAACATGTGGGATTGTGGCCTTTCCCCACTCACCACTCTGGCTTTCTGCTCTCCTCTGAAGCAGAGGATAGCCCAGAGTGCAGGAGGAAGTAGCTCCCCGGCCTCCATTTCTCACCTGCTGTCATTTAGAAACACGAAAGTGACTATGCAGCAAATGGCACCTGATTGCTAATCTATTCAGGGAGAGGAACTTTGAATGTGCAGCCTGGTCTACGAAGATGGGTAGCCTGGTCTACGGAGATGGGTAGCCTGGTCTACAGAGATGGGTAGCCTGGTCTACGGATATGGGTAGCCTGGTCTACAGAGATGGGTAGCCTGGTCTACAGAGATGGGTAGCCTGTAGACTCAGTTGCTCTGGACCGGCTGGCCTAGGAAAGCGCAGGAGCCATCATTCCCCACTCTACGCCTTGTTTACACACCTCCCATTTAGATGACAGCTTTCTGGTTAGACAGGCTGACATTTTCACCCTAGTTCTCAGAAAGTTTGGGATATCCTTTTAGTTCCATAGACATATCTGTTCCCAACATTAGCCCATTTTTAATTTTAAAGAAAAGCCTGGAAAGTTTCTCTGGTGCAGAATGCAGACAAGTTTTCACAGGCTGTGATGTGGACCTGCACAATTGCCTCCTGGCAAGGAGCAACCAGTGACTGCCTGCTGCATGCTGGCACAGTGTAGAGGCTGCTACATGATGGCCTGGCGCAGTGTAGGCACTGCTGCATGCTGGCGCAGCATAGGCGCTGCTGCATGCTGCATGCTGCATGACGTAGGCGCTGCCACATGCTGGTACTGTGTAGGCGCTGCTGCATGCTGGCATGGTGTAGGCGCTGCTGCATGCTGGCATGGTGTACGCGCTGCTGCATGCTGGCATGGTGTACGCGCTGCTGCATGCTGGCATCGTGTACGCGCTCTCTGTGGAAGCCCTTCTCCCTTGGATCCCCCATGTATTCAGTCTACCATGTCCGCACTGTGTAGAGAATGAGCTGTAGCTTGGGGATGGTAAGGTACTGTGGTGAGCCCCATTAGAGGCTGCGCCAGAGTAAGTCCCACACAGCACCCTTTTATCATGTAAGTGAATGCCATCCAGATACTCAGAAGACTCTTGAGGGGTTTCCTTTCACTAATTCGGATTTCTCAAGTGTCTTAGCACGTCTTCTTTGAGAGCTCCAAAAGCATACCAGTCACTATTCTAAATGACAGTAGAAAGTTACGAGGAATTTTGTTCAGAAATAGCAGGTAAATGCTAGGAAGTACCAAGTGGGTGGGGGTGCTGGAGGGTCTGCCTGCAAAGTCCTGGGAAGAGTTTGTTCCAATGGGCAAGCGCTCCTGGGTTTGGGAGGGAAGTGACCCTGCCCTCAGCCTTCTATGTAGTTTTCCATCTCCTTTAGCACCAGGGATACAGAATTAACCACTGCCAAGCCATCTCTTTCTATAGCTTTTCATAGCAGAAGCTATGTAAATGCATTGCAGTTATCCCTATGTGTTCATCAAGATGTTGACCAAGTATGTGCCTTATGGTGAAGCCGTGCTCATGTATGAAGATGCTGTGTTACAAAAAGCAAGCAGTGCTATTTCTTCCGCAGAAAATCGATGCCTCTTTCTGTGTCTGCATCTCTCTTCCTCTACCCCTGTGTGTGTGTGTGTGTGTGTGTGTGTGTGCCTGTGTGCCTGTGTGCCTGTGTGCCTGTGTGCCTGTGCAAGGGCAGGGGTTGTGGTAAATGAAGAAATAGATACTGCACTGAAGAATATAGCTATACCATAAACATCAATTTGCCATCACCCCTCAGCTACAAGGTATATAATCTCCCTGCTTTGGTTTGCATGTGTGACTTTTCCTGCCTGTGTCTCTGGGACCGGAGAACTCACTGGGAAATTGCTTTGCTTAAAGACCTGTTCTTTTATTTTTTTTAAATTCAGCTTTAACTCGAGGTGTAACTCGGCCTTCTTTTTATTTTAAGATTAATTTCTTTGGAGGATGAGAACCAGCACAAAGAATCCTCTCCTTGTAAGGGTAAGTTTTAATTTCCATTTCCATTGCTTCAGAGACCCTGCTGGAATGTACTCCAGCCAACTTGTTTCTCTTTCTGGTAAATTACCTCTCGGTTGGTTTTTTTTTTTTTTCCATCTTAAGAAAAGGCTGTACTAATCTGCTTCCTGTAGTCTCTGATGTTAGTGCTACCAACCCTTTAGTAGTACCAAGAGACATTGTGTGGTTTGAACCAGAAACTTCGGCATCCTCCTTGTGGTGGGACATGGCAGATAGCCACTCCTTTCCAAGAGATAGGATTTCTGGGCTGCTCTGAGGAGTAATTTCTGTATCATGATAATAGGTTTCTCTTATGACAAGCCAGCTTAAGCTGAATTTTAAAAAAAAATAAAAGAGCAGGTTTCTTTAAGCAAAGCAACTCCCCAGTGAGTTCTCCGTCCCGGAGACACAGGCAGGAAAAGTCACACATGCAAACCAAAGCAGGGAGATTATATAGCCTGTAGCTGAGGGGTGATGGCCTATTTGCCATAAGGTGGGTTTGCACCCAAGTGTGGTCAAAAACTTAGCACTTTTGGCGGAGATTGGGTTGCTGGCAACTTCAGGGGAGAAACTGCTCTGGTCGCCAAGAATAGGGAACTGGGCTTTTTGGCACCTTTTCTTTCCTGGACTTTCTCTGAGAGGGTGGGGTTTGGAGAGAGAGGAGTGGGATTTTCTGGATCAAGCAGGAGTGAGCTTGAGGTTCCAGCCCAACAGGTAGCCCTAGCTCCAGGTCTTAGTGCAGTCTTAATATCACATCCAGGTGTGATCAGTGGTGATTTCTGGGTTGGCGGTCCTCGTTCCTCATTGTTGGAGACTGAATTGCCCCGACTTTGCCCTCCCAAGTGAATCCTCAGGCCATATTAAGGAGTGGCACCAGCTACCTCAAGGTGAACTGAAGCCTACCTTAGGAGGAGGCTCTGTTGACTCCTTATCGTAAAGGTACAGACTATGGAAAATTATAGTAAAACCAATATGTATCGGTGTTGAACCCTTCACCAGGAGTTAAAATCTCCATAGATGGAAAGGTGGTTGACATTATATAGGTAACTAAAGATGTTGTATCCGTAACAGAAATCGTCCAGCCTTCTGTTCAGACAGGCCCTCCTGGGGACAGAGTCTCCTCTTCCCTGCCTTGAGCCAGGAAAGGAAATGTGTGAAACAAGTCCTAGAACTGTTCTTCTGCTCCATTCCTCTTCACCCTGGCTCTTCCCACTTTTCCAAGTGGCTAAAGCCATTTGCTATTGTAAGACTTGTCAAAGGAAAATATATGTTTGAGCAAAGGAATGAGCCAGGAAGAACCAGGAAAGGTAAGAAAAGCGAAATTCTAGAGTCTGAGAAAAGTAAGGTCTAGGCCTGATTTCGTGGCCCTGGACAAACCGTCTGTGTTAATCCAGGCCTCCAACCTCAGTGCCCCTCTGTGAACTTATGGCATGAATATTGTTTGGGACTCAAGATCATAGAGTAGAACATACTTAGTTCTTTGGGAAAATGTCAACTCCAGTTTCTTATATTCATAAAAAAGTTTCAAATCTATATAACTTAGATAGATTTGTACAGTATATAAAAATGCAAAGTTTCTCTTTTCTTATATAATTCAATTGGTGTGATATTTCTATACTGTTTTGAGATTCGAATCCATTATCATTAAGTGGCATCTGTCTTATTCTGGGACCTGTTGAAGGTCTGGTGAACACGAGCAAACTGAATTGAGACTGTCCTGTCATGTGCCTACTCACGCATGTACAGCCACACTTGATTGCTTATTGTGAGCCAAGTTAGTTCAAGGGACAGAGTTTCCCCACGTCCCTTAGTCCTACAGATGCTACTTTCATCTAGCATCGCCCGATCCCAGCATGGTGTTTATAAGAATCAATGAGCCTAAATAGAAGCCCCCTTATCACTCAAAGTCCACTTGATATAATCTTTCCTTCTAGTGCTCTATATTTGATGGGTATTTCAAGTATGAAGTGACCTGTTTCTTCCATTAGAGTGTCATACAAAGTATTACCTGCCCCCAGCCTTCTGTTACCGCTGACTTGCCTCCTTACCCACCAGGCATGCCCTTAGCGTCTACTGGTCTTTCTAGCGTCTCTGTAGCTATGGTTTTCAGTCTTTAAAAACTAAAGATTCTTTATTGAGAATTCAGTATTCCCTTTTTCATTTTAGCCAGGCCTATGTGGTTACTATTTGTTAGTGATACCAAGTAATAGCCGATGACTTATCATTCATTTTCCATGGGTGAAAATAGAAAGATAAATAGAGTATCGTGTGGGTTATCCATCAAACAAAACAGAGATTCTTTGGAAATGTCAAATTTAAAATTAGTTAAATGAATTGCATAAAATTGAAATTCCAGATTTCAATTTGGAAATCAACAGCTAATAGCTGACGTAAAGGGGAAACGGAGGACCACTGCCTTACATGAGCTAGCTGAGACCTTTTATGCTTTCTCACAGTGTGTATTTACCTCACACATAACTTATAAAAATGTACCACTGTGGGCTGCTCATAACCAACTGCATACGTTGTGTTTCAGCTGAAGAAGAGAAAAGTACTCCGTCATCTATAGACAAAAGCCCTGTGCACGACGCATGCTCAGGTAATCTAAAGACAGACTTCCCAGTTTGAATGATTTATTCAAACTCCGAGTGAAATGGAGTTGACTGATAATTTGTTTTCTTTCTCTTCTCTTAAGGACCAATAGATGAACTATTAGACATGAAACCCGAAGAAGGTAAGATTTACACATTCTTTGAAGTTTATAATTTGATTAAATTAAGTTCTCTTTTATTGGTGCCAGAAAACTCAATAGTTATTAAGAGTCCAAAATGCCCCTGAGATTCTGAGCCAAACATCAGAAAATCCCTTGGCCTGGAGATTGGCATTCTGTCCTGATCATACAGGTTCTTTACAGCATAGTTACTGACCTGACCCAAGCCACCCTGTGGACCTCGGTTAACCAGGGTATGATTCAGCTCACTCTGAACTTGGCCTGTTAGACGTCTGCTCTTGTGAAAGATGCTTGGGAGAAACATTTAAAGGAAGGAAGGGTGGGTTATCTTGGCTCATGGTTCCAGTCCATGGTCTGCTGGCTTTTTAACTCTGTGGCAAGTCAGAAACATTGTGGAGAAAGAGCATGGTGGAAGAGCCACTCACCCGAAAGGCAACAGGAAGGAACCAGCACGAAGACACGCCCCCAGCTAGCCACTTCCTTCATCTCAGCACTTCCACGGTTCCACCACCTCCCAATTATTTACTTAAAATTTGAGTCAGTCAGTGGGTCAGCTTGACTAGGGCAAAGCCCACATGGTCTAGTTTTCTCTGAAACACAGATACTCCTAGAGGTGTCCTTAATCGTCTCCTACATGGCCGTCAATCCAGTCCAGTTAAAACTCAAGATTATCCGTCAAGGTATGGACAGAATCCACATAGTATTAGAGAAAAAAGAATCTCTCAAAGGTACAAAGTCACTATAAGTTTGCCAAGAACTTCCCAGGACTTGGAATACAGACTCACAGGTAGAAGGCTCCTTGCCTTGTGAATGTCTTACTGAAGGCATCATGCTATGCAATATTCCATCAGAATGGTACAGATTGGTAAACCAGAAACTATACCAGTAATTAAATGAATGAACAGACAGTGTGAGTGGCCATTTGTAGCCCCCATTTTTGTAAGGACCTTTCCCCTCTGGTTTAAGAATAAAACATTTTAATGGAATAAAAATATCCTTTATAAATTAGAGTACTGAAATATTTTAATCTTACTAAAATGAGATAGTACAGCAAGCCCTCAAGTATCTGCCACCCAGTTTCAACAACTCCTAACATTTAATGAATGTATTAATAATCATATGCATGACCCAACTTATTTTGATGGATTGATACTCCTCCCAACCCCAGAGTCTTGTCTATATGGTTTTTCCTTTGTTCCTAACTCTATTTAATTTTATTATTTTAGTAGACTTGATTTTTGAATAGGTAGTATATTTATACTAATATAGACGATAATAGAATATTATATTTTAAAAACTCACCCCCATTTCTGTAAACTGGCTCACACCCCATCTTGACAGCGAAGTGCCTCTTCTATGCCCCCAGCCTTCTAGAGCTTTCATACTCAGACACAGAAAATAGGAGTCCGTGTTCTTGCTTCCTCTCCCTTTGTAAGGGGTATAAAAAGATGTGGATTTTTTTTAAAGTAATGATAGATTGTGACAACCTTAGCCCCAAAGCCAGCACCTCCTCAGGGAATTAACTCAGAAGGGCTACCGCTTGCAATAGTCTGCTGGCTTTCACAGCTTCCCCATGTGCCAGTGCCCATCGGATGAAGACTGACGTCTGCTTATTGAAAGCAAGTTTCATGCCCCGTTGCTTTTAGCTCTGAAGATGAAGCTAGATGTGCTCTTCCCTTGTACAAGTACTGGTTCTCAGGCAAAAAGATGGAGTCACGGGACTCCCCAATCAAATGCAATGCCACATAAGCCACCCTGTCCCTTTATCGCTGCTGCCCCACAGAGCTCTCCCCTGGCTCCCACTGGGGGGGTATCAGCGCTGAACCACAAGTCTAAAGATGCTCTTGACACACAGGGAACTTGTGGTGACTGAAGAAAAGAGAACGCTGCTGCTCTCTTCACTTCAGCATGCAGCATGTCTTTTCAGAGCTGCCGCCAGCCTAAACTCTGAATTAAAATGCGGATCGTAGTACGCTAAACTTCAGATGTGAAGAAATCAAAAGCACTTAATCCAAGGGTGGCTGATTTTATAAGACTTGGGACCTCTGGCCCCAGCTCCACTTTCTTCTACTAAATCATAAAGTAATAGAAAAACAATGCTTGACCACACAGTATAAAAACATTTAATAAAATATTGGTGACATTGTAAGATCTTGAAAGTGGATCTGAAGTCACCATATACCGCACATGACATGTGGCCTGGATTCGTGAATTAGAGCATGCAGAAATCTTTGTGTTCCTCAAGTTGGGCCCTCCCCGCAAATAACATCCTACTGAACAAAAAGATGTAGTGCAAAGGAGATGAAAATTTAATGAGTTCAACTTCCCAAATCTTATCACTAAGCCTTTACCAAAAACAGAAGGTCTAGGCCAATTAAAAAGCAGAACAAAACTATTGTCTTTATTACAAAAACGTGTTTGTTGTTTGTCCATGCTCTGTTACTGCTTGTGTCTCTAAATTCTGGCCAGGTGTAAGGATGATAGTTCGTTCAGCAGCTAGCCGAGGTCTAGGTGATAACCTTTAGCCCACAGCGATCACGTGCCCCACAGCGATCACGTGCTATCCCACGTTGCCTGGCTTCTCCGGAGTCGCGGATCTGTCACCTGTAGTCATCCTTACTGTCACATGAGAGATCGGATCGCTTTGCCTCAGGACAAACAATGACCAAGTGCTAAATTCCATCTGCTCTCATAAACCCCTCCTCCCTTCCGCTCAGCATTCTGGGAAATGCTGCTAACCTGGGTCACCTCATGAAATAATTATGCACTTTTTCTTCAGAGTGCTGGGAAGAGCTCCTCCTTTACACTTTAGACAAGCCCTCTACCACTGAGCCACACCCCCCAGCCCAAGGACATAGGCTTTTAAAAGAACTACTGAAGGCAGGAGTGTGTCAGCAAACACCTGGAATCCCAGCCCCTGGGAGGGAGAGGGTTAAAGTTCAGGAGATTAAAGCCACCCTCGACTGCGTGACCTGTTTGAGGCCAGCTCAGGCCACATGAAACTCTGCTTGATGAAACCAAATAAATAATAAAATAAATGTTCATAGCCATGTAGTAGTGTGCTGTGCATGGGATTATTCCTATAGAGATTCTTAAAGACTTGCTCCTGCCCTATCAGGGGCGAGGTGACTTGCTAAGCTAATACTAAAACGGAGGGGCTGGGTTGTAACACTCAGGTGTTTTTGTGTGTGCTACTCTTGTTTCTTCAGAAAGCACACATGAACACTTACCCCACCCGGGCCCCTGTCAGTTGAGGTTTTTATTTATTATTATTTTTAAACCTGAAGGAAGTTTTTGAAAGCGGCATTCTTCGATTCCAAACAAGAACAATCTGCTCGCAGAGGCTGAGAAAACTGTTCTTCTGTGTGGACAGTGTCAGGTGGTTTTCTGCTGTCTTCCCCCGCCATCCTTCGGGTGACAGGAGGGTAGTGTTGGTGTTTGGGGTTTCAGCGGCTCTGCAGCCCTGTGGCCTTTAACATTAGTCATTCTGTGGGGCGTGGGGAACAGGGAGAAACCCAGAGAAGTCAGCCTTCCTGTTTCACACAGATGAAGGTAAATCAAGTGACATTTATCTTTTTGTTGTCCTGTGTTCTCGTTTTCTGACTGTGTAGCTGTTTCCGTGTTCTGTGCCCCTAGTTTATGCTGAGGTCATGAAACTCAGTATGATTTCAAAAGCACTATCTGGACCAGTTTTCCACACTCTGCCTAAACTTGAGTTTCCTCTACTTTGGGGCTTTTTTTTTTTTCAGTCTAGAACTCACTGGTTCAGGACCAGTTCTTCTAGGGAATGTTTCCCAGGCCCCAGGCTTCATATTTCTCAGGGTTGAACAAGAGAGCCATATTCTGCCTCTGTGTCTGCATGGTACCTCGAGGAGCACGCTGGCCATAGACACCGTCACATGTTCACAAAACGTTCCTAGTTTGTGTGTGAGAACCCAGTCAGTTCTCTGTCAGCATACAGCAAAAACAAAAACCAAAACAAAACCCTACCTACGTTCTGAAGGAAAAGCAGTTCTCTTCCCCAGGGAGACAACATTGTCAGGTGGCCCTAATAAACTTCATCACTGGCAGAGCATACGGGCATCCTGCATGCCACCGTGGGGAGAGCTACCTTACGCCTTAGCCCGGAAATGCATGCGCAAGTGTTTGGACAAGGAATGATATCACAGTTGGTGTAGGCAAAGGAGCAGGGTGGGAGGCCGTCTCCTGGAGCTGCAGCTGCCTTACCAGTAGGCACACCACAAAGGATAAGATAAGACTTTGTGGTCAGGAGTTGGAGAACTTGGATTGGAGGCAGACATTTGGAGACGCCGAGCCAAAGGAAGTTGTGGCCCACAACTCGGTAGCCGTCTTTGTTGGTCTGCGTGGGTGGACGCGCTGACCAGCCTTCTCCGGAGGACATTATGGCATCTCTCCATGCTTTCTTTGTCTCTGGTTGAGTGGTAGTTTCCAACAAAGATAAGAGCAGCTCAGTTCTCCGGGGCCTGCCGACAAGCTTCAGTCCTCAAGTCCCGACTTGCCTGGTTGCAGACCTAAACCTGTCCATTTGGACTTGTAATTAAGGTTCTCTTACAAGTTATGCATAGTAATTTCAGGCATCTTAATTATCAGTGTAATAATCAGGAGGTTTCTGGGTTTTATGGTTCAAGTCAGTGCCAGTTTCCTTGCTTTTAGCAACATAATAAGTTCTCTTAGAGGAACGCAGTTCACTGTGCGGCCTGCTTTAACTGTTAAATAGCCAGAACGTGATGACATTTTTAGTTGCAACTTTTTATTAATAAATTTTAAAATAAACAAGCAGAATGATAATAGCAGACCATACTCAATGGTGCACTTCAGTAGGGGCGAAACCTGAATCTGACTGACTTGTGAGACCGTTTCCTCGGCTCCGTGACTGAAGTGTTTGTGTTTGATAGGCACCGGATCCGTTTAGTTATAAGGTTGGAAGCCGGTGTTGAAATGGGTTAGGTTGGACTTTTGCTTAAAGTGCTCTCAGCCATGTAACTGAGGGTGTTCTGTGCTATACTGACTCAAGCGAGAGTCAGGGACTGGCTGAGTGCTGTCTAAATTCCCTTTCTGCCTCTTGACATTGTGTCCTTCTGCATGTTGACTTTATTTCCACTCACAGCCTCTGATTTGTATCTCTGGATCTGAGACACCCAAAGAAGGATGGGTCTTTTTCCATCCACTTTTCGTATAGCAAATACAAAGACACCTGTAGCGTACGTCATCCCGAGTCAGTCACTGTGGCCTGAGAAGGTGGCCAACTCCAACCTGCCCAGCCACACACACACCTGTAGTGGGCGAGCAGGATCACAGAGGGACAGTGTGCTTCTCAGGGGAAAACACCTGAAGGAAAGGGAAGAGAAGCTAGTTAGCAGAAGCCACTCATGTCTGTGCTAAATACCAAGACATGAAGCCTAATCACTAAACATGAAATAGAAGTTTTATAATCGGCTTATGTGTAGAGGACACCATGCTTATGATCCCTTGTTCTGTGTTTACTGGGCTCTTAGCCATCCCAGCCACCACAGGGATGCCTCCCCAGTTCATACTGAAATGACTGTCCAAGGAAAGCGCATTGCTAATTCACTCAAAGTCCAACCGAACAGGTCTCATTTACGTGGGCTTGACTCAGTAATCATATGACTTCAACCAGGAAGGAAACCAGGAGAAATGGTTTGGGTGCTCCAATGTCAGCAGAAAATAGGAGGTACAGAGATTTGAAAAGTAACCACAGGTTAAGGCGATGAGTCTGGGAGAGACTGAAAGAGAATTCATAAGTAAAGGCTTGTGTTGAGGGACACACCTGATACATTGTGGGTGTTGTACCCCAGCGTCTTCCTGTTTGGCGGCAGCGTGCAGGTGAGCAGCCTGCCTTACCTTCCTGCCCAGCCTGCTGGCTCCTGCTGTGCAGGGAAGCCTCTTCACAGAACCAAATTGCCGCTTTTCTCGTAGTACGCCTACAGGCTATGTCTGGCGGCAAATGTCTTTGATAACATAAACAATAAAAATGCTTAAATTAGGCACTTGTCTGATTAAAGTGATGTTTTGCCACTATTTTAAACCACGGTGATAGGAGTTACTAGATTTTTTTCCCCTTTCTTGATTTATAGCCAGTTTGCTGGTTCATAAAAAAAAATCCCCTAAATCTCTAGATCTTTATGTTACATGTGGGTAAAAACAGATCCAGCAGAAGAACAGAGGGAAGCTTTATTTAAAACAATAACCTTAGAATCATCATAGCTGTGAATATATTTGAGGAAAACCTGATAATTTTATTTACCCTGATCATCAGAATTTCAATGTTGCTCAGAAAAACATAGGGACCATGATATAATAAAAAATGGTTTCAGTTTGCAAGTGGCAATTAGATTCCACAAACAAAGCAACACTTGATACACCCCTCAGCCCCCAGTCTTAAAATAGGTAGAAAACCTCAATGACAGAGCTTGCCATGGGATTTCTGAGAGTCGTGTCCACTCTCCTTGTAAGTACTGGGCGGCGGCGGGTCAGTGTTTAGATGTGAGAATGGATGTCTCTGCAGTCGTCCAGGCTGATGACTTCAGTGTAGTCTCCCAGCTCCCTGACAGTGCACGCTGGCTCTCGGGCCTGGCGAAGGTCTGCTGAGGTGGCTAGTTCCCCTCAGGACTAGGGCTCCCTGCCAGCTGTCACACTTCTGTCTGCGGCCCACAAAGTGAGCCTGTCACTCTCTGCTTGCTACTCTCAGGCACACCAGATCCACCTTTCCTCTGCTTCTTGCAGCTGTTGTTGCAGAGACATCTGTCTTGGTTGTTGATGCATCCCCTGACATGCTCCCCTGGGCCAGGGCGTGGTGAGGTTTCTCCCCAGCTTGGGTGGCAAGACAGGCTGCCGCACGGTTTGTTGGCTGCTCCAGCCCAGGCAGCGTGGATTGAGGGCTTGTGTGGGAAGAGTTGGGAAACCTTACAAACAAAGAACTAAGATCACCAAGAGCTTTCAGCCCTGGATTCATTTCAGACCTGGGGAATGTTTTGTCAAATCTGCTTTTATGTTAAGGGAAAACCCAAATCCTAGATGGGTGTGTGTATGTGTGTGTGTGTGTGTGTGTGTGTGTGTGTGTGTGTGTGTGTGGTAGAACATGTTTCAGTGTAATGCTCAAAAACAGGATTTGCTTTGGATGAAGGGGGACAAGGAAATATAGAAATCAAAATTTATTTTGACCTCCGTTTAAACAAGCGTGTCATGGGATACATACATCTCTGTTGTGATTACTTTCCCTTAGATCCAGCCATCATTCAGTTTGTCCCAGTTGGGCCCTATGACAGCTCTTCCTGACGCTCGAGCTAAGAGGTCATGTGCTTTGTGCTCTTTTGCCTTCACCAGCTTGCCTGGGTCCCATGGCAGGGACCCCAGAACCCGAAGGTGGGGATAAGGATGACCTCCTGCTGTTGAATGAGATCTTCAGCGCCTCCAGCCTGGATGAAGAAGAGTTCAGCAGAGAGTGGGCTGCCGTGTTTGGAGATGACCGTCTGAAGGAGCCAGCCCCCGTGGGGGCCCAGGGAGAACCAGACGCCAAGCCCCAGATCAGTTCTGGATTCCTTCCTTCGCAGCTTTTAGACCAAAACATGAAAGATCTACAAGCCTCTCTCCAAGGTAGGTTCCACAGTGACTAGAAACTTGATTTTGCTTCTTCATCCTTTCCCACCCTTAATACAGAAGTTTATTTGTTCTGAGTATGCTTTCTGTATTTTTACTTTATAACCAGTATCTTTTAATTTCATTATTAGTGGTAGTATTTTTTTATAATTTTTTTATATCAAGTGACTTTTTAGCTGAAATCTCCAAATCATACCTCAACTTAAAGGTGTAGTGTTAGGCTCAAGATCAGTTGTTTCTCATAATTTTTCCCTCTGTCAGTACTTCCTTAGGAAAGTTACGGGAGGTCTTCACCCTTATTTTCTCTCTTGGATTTAAGGAAGTTTGTGACATGCACAAGAGGATCTTGCCTTTGCAGTTAAAACCCTGTGGCCTAGTCATCCCTGACTGCCCACGCCTGCATCTTCCATATACCCATGAGATGTGCTGCCTAGATCCCTGTAAACATGCCCTCTCTTTAGGTACATTTCACTGGGCCTTTTAACTTTGTCTCCTCTTCTATATCATGTTCCCTCTTGTTCTCTCTACACCTTGACCTGTCCCTACCTTGTGTATGCGCCGACTCAGCAGTTCCTGTTCTGACTCTAGCACACCAAGTAAACCCCATCGCCACCTCAGAGCAGAGTTTCCACCCTGAGCAAACATGCTCTCTCCTCAGAAGGGTTCAGGGCGCACTGGGGCTCAGCATCAGGCCACATGCTGGTTGAGCGTCGCTGGTGTGTCCCCCACAGCGATTCAGAGTGCGATAACAAAGCTCATTGGTGAAGTCTGAATTTCAAAAACTGGTCTCGAGAAGGAAACCATTTTCTTCTCTCGCGAATTTTTTTCTTCCTCTCATGTTACCTCTGTCACGAAAATAGAAACTACTCCTATTAAGAAATGTTCAAATTCTTTTGGTTTTTTCTATGAACTTAAGCTATCTCCCTAATAAACATGTTTATCTGGCACTTACAGTGGAGGACAAATGGTGGAGCGGGGATGATTAAGTAATTATGGGCTATTACAAGCGCTGGTCTTGGGAAATGAGATCATTCATACAGGAGCTGGTGGGCAAGACAGAGAGAGAAAGTCTTCCTTTTCTCTGAGCTACCTCTCCCCTTCTACCTTCCCTGGGAATCCTGCTCCGCAGCTGTCTCAGATGGTAGTGCCATGGAGTTGGAGGCGGCGGAGAGAGCAGATGCAGGAAGTCTAGTCTGCTCTCTGAGTTTCATCTCTGGTTTCACCTCTCCTTCACTGGGTGAAGCCAGCAAGTCTGCCAGCTCTCCTGACGTTTACCCTAACCCTCCTGACAGACCTGGGAGACTCTAGAGGCCAGATTCTCAGCCCACCTCTGTGAGGTTCTGTCCTCCCTCTGGCCCTGTTGCCCAGTGATCCTTAGAAGGCCCCTGGTGTGGAGACTCCGAAGCCCTGCTGCCACGGGAGCAGGTGGCTAACAGTCACTGCAAGAGTGAGAAAGCAGAGCTCCAAAGCCTCATCCTGGACAATGTGTGAAAAGCTCTGGTCAGACACAACCTAAGAGCTGTGACTGTGGGCTTTGCACTTACTTCAGTCCGAGAGAAGGCACCAAACCACTTGTGGGGCAAAGGAGGGAGGTGTCCAACAGCAAGCAAGAGATAGGTGTGAGCTGGGAAGAGAAAGAGGCTCCACTCAGGGAAGCCAGGGAAGCCCAGGCAGTCTTGAGGTTGCATCCTAAGGCGTTAGCAAGCATCTGTGAATGGCAGGCAAAACTCTCTGCCTTCCTGGAATTCACTTTCTAATGGGGAGAAAGTAGGAAATGATAAACAATGAGAAAGCCAACACAGTAGGTAAGAGAGGACTCAGTGGTAGACAGAGGAAAATGAAGCTCAGGAGAGCCAGTACTGTGGGGTGGCAGGGAAGCTACACAGAGTCTTGCTGGGAAGGTAGGAGCCAAACAAGACTGAACAGGATGAGAATTAGCTACCTGGGCAGCTAACTGTTGTTGACCCCATAAGGTAAGAATATACATAGCATGCCACGGTCTACGGGAAAAACCTTTCTTGGAGCTAACTGGATGAGAGTGAGAGGCACTAAGGTGGGGGGAAGGGCTCCAGTGTAAAAGGACAAGACAGCATTATAAGATGGGCCATATATGGCAAGAGAAGCTAGCCTTCATGGGGCATGCACACACTGGGTAAATCTCTGGCCGCCATGTTGAAGACCAGCATGGCTTCTTTAGCCGCAGTCTTTGTTATTTAACAGCATCATTTTGCTTGTTAGAGTCTCCTCTCCCCCTGTGGACTTCTACCCAGCCTAATGTTAAAGTTATCTGGTGACTATAGAGTTGCCTTTGCTTTATAAATGGGTACCAGCAGAATGCCTAGAGGATTCAGTACATCAAATGTAAATGTCTACATGGTTTAAAAGAAGAATATAGCCCTTCATTGTCCCCCACAGCTCCATAATCTCAATGGGAGCAGCTTTCATGCTACCCCAATGCTGCCCTGATTCAGGGAACTTTCCAGGTGCGTCTGGTATAGACACAGGCAGGCTGCTTGCAGTGGCCGAGCACTTGGAAGGCTTCTGTCAGGATTCCAGAATCTCATCCTCCAAATAAGAAAGGATGAATGTTAACCTGGTATTTTCTTTTCATTGCATTCGTGGGTGAATGGAGAGTCCACCTAATGTGTATGAATAGTTGTTTGTAAATATGAGTTTAATGATGACTATTAAAACCTGACCACATCATGTTAAAATGGATTCCTCCAGTTAACCAGATCATGTCAAAACCTAAGTTCAGTAACAACTGAAATAATTAGGACACTAAATTCAGCGTAGGGAGGTGGGGCATGTTGTCATGTTGGCTCAGCGGCACAATGTGGGAGGGAATTGAGACCAGCTTTGTTTTGTGGTTGCCCTTTTCCTCCTCACACTGTAGGAGTGGCAACTCTCTCTACAGCTCTCTAGGTTATTACTTCAGATTTAAGTAGGTGAGGTGTCGGTCTAGGCTTCTTATCCCAGCAGCACCTTGTCTGTGGGTTAGCTCCCATCTCTGAGAGGCTAAGGTGTAAAATTGAGTAATTCTGCAAATCTACCAGCCATAGAGAGTAAGATAACATCAGCCTGTGCTCAAGACAGCATACGCTGGGTGCCAAGCACTGTGCTCTCTTGTTACCTGTGCCAACTTATCCATTTAACCTGCTGCTTCCTAGGTAAACGGTATCACCATATACACTACAGATATCAGAAAACCAAGGAAAGAAGCAGTTTGTTGACTCTGTAGTGAGGAGCGGCAGTGACCTGCTTCCCGCCACCTGGCTAGCTTTACCCGAAATAATTACACGGAAACTGTATTCTTTTGAACACTGCTTGGCCCATTAGTTCCAGCCTCTTATTGGCTAGCTCTTACATATTGATCTAACCCATTTCTAATATTCTGTGTAGCATCATGAGCTGGCTTACCAGGAAAGATCTTAACCTGCGTCTGTCTGGAATGGGAGAATCATGGCGACTGCCTGACTCAGCTTCTTTCTCCCAGCATTCTGTTCTGTTTACTCCACTCACCTAAGGGTTGGCCTATCAAATAGGCCAAGGCAGTTTCTTTATTAACCAATGACCTTCCTCCATCAGGCCCAAGGTCACTCTTAGGGTAAAAGCAGACAGACATTGAACCTGGGCACTCTGACTAAGGAGATGAGCCCATGCCTGCCACAAGGACTTCTGGGTCCTCTCGGTGTGATGTCTGACAACATAGGAAGTTTTCTCCAGACCCTTCAGGCATCTGCTTGCTGTCTCATGAGCAGGGCTTATAGTGATCAGCCTGCCTGTGGGTTTCCTGGCTTCAGAGAGGAATCAGGATACCAGGACACCAGGGCAGACAGCAGGATAAATGGAGTTATAGAGAGACAGGGTCGTTATCCAACAAAAATTGAATGGCCATCCAGAGTAGAATAATTGAAATTGAGCAGTCATAGACATCTTTATGGATAATGTTTGGCCACATCTGTGCATTGTTTCACTGTTGTCCTGGCTCTCTGAAAGGACTGAGACACCTGCAGGGTTAGGTCAGAGGACAGAGTAGAGGGCTCTGCATGCCTCAGTCATTAGGGATTCCCATGCTTTCATTCTTTATCTTCCTCTGGTATAGGAGCCTCTTATTCATTCCCAGCAGCCCAGACTCCAGAAATAATCACACAGAAACTATATTATTTATAATACTGTTTGGCCAATAGCTTAAGTGTATTGCTAGCTAGCTCTTACATCTAGAATCAACCAATGTCCTTTATTTTATATTTTATCACAAGGCTTGTGGCCTACCAGTAAGGTTCCAATTAACAGCTTGTGTCTTTCCCTTCTGGTGGCTCCATGGCATCTCCTGACTCCACCTCCTTTCTCTCAGCATTCAGTTTAGTCCCTCCCCCCACCTCTATTCTGCCCTGCCAGGCCCAAGTCAGATTCTTTATTCACAGCATACAGAGGGGACTCCCACATCACTCCTCCTTTTCTTCCTCCTCTCTCCCTTCCTCTCTTCAGTCTTTCACCTCCTAGAATGGTTTCTGCCTGCCTTCCTTCTGGCCTCTCCTCATTCTGTCCTGCAGCCCTCCAGGGGACTAGAAAGGAAGAAAATAAGTGTGCCTCCCTCCTGCCTTGCCCAAGTTGTAGGAGTTCACAGCAAAGGTTATATGTCTGATCAGGTCATTCTAGACTGTTGAAGAATCGACCTTAGCTAAGATTCCTGTGTTTCTGGAAGTGTGGCCTGAGAGGGGTAGCCTCACCTGTTTTCTGTTGCTGTGATAACAGCCACAATGAAAAGCAACTTGTAGTTGAAAGGGTTTATTCCGTTTTATAGTTCCGCTTCATAGTTCAGTAGTGAGGAAAGTCATGGCAGAAACTCAAACAGGAACCTAGAGGCAGAACCAGGAGGGAAGACTGCTTACTGGCTTCTTCTCTGTGGCTCATTCAGCTTTCTTTCCTTTCTTTCTTTATCTCTTTCTTAATCCCTGCCCCTCTCTCTCTCTGCCTTTCTTTCTAATTTAATT